ACACGAACAATTTAGTGACTCTGATATAGGTCAGTGCAAAAGTCCTAGTTTCAACCCCCAGTACCAAAATTACAATAATAATAATTGATAATTATGAATTCAAAATGAGGTACCAGGCTGTGCACATTAAGGACCCAAGGCTCGGGCTTCAGGAATCCCACCTGGAACTTCCTCTAACCTCTACAGCACCTTGCTGGCCAGTGCCACAGCCGGAAGGACCCCAGGTGTTTCAGACAGTATGAACGGATCCAGGAGGCAGCCACTGCAAATGCCACACCCCACACACACATACACACTCGCTCTGTCATGCAGTGGATGAGCGTTGATGCCTCCGTGGTGCTGAAAGTGTGAGTTACCCTTGCTGCTCCCACTGTGCCCCGACTCACCCTCATTCGATCCTCTAGCCACACAGCAAGGCAGGCCTGTGTTGTGATTCCCAGTCTACAGTTGAGGAAGCTGAGGCTCAAGCAGGGCCAGTTACTTGCCTGAGGGCCCAGAGCTAAGAGGTTGGAATCCTAGCAGCCCAAGTTCAGAGGCTGTGTAGCAGAAACAGTAACTGCCACTTTGCACCCCTTTCTGATGCCAACCTTACCTCCCCATGGAGAAGTGCCAGGGTGCCTGTAATCCCAGCTCTCTGGGAGGCTGAGGCAGGAGGATCTCAAATTTGAGCCCAACATGAGCAATTTATAGGTCACTGCTCAAGTCCTGGGTTCAAACCCCAGTATGCTTTACACACACCTGGCACTTCTGTCTCTTCTGATAGAAGCCTGAAGTGGGGACAGGATACCCCCACTCTGGAGTCACAGATGCCTGTACTAACCCTCCTCCTGCTACTTTCTAGCTGTGAGCCCCTGACCAGCGTTTCACATCGACAAACCTCTCAGTTTTCTCATCTGTAAAATAGGGATTGCATCATTTAGCGGGCAGCTCTGAAGTCTAGAGATGCCAGTGACTATTGTGCATGTTCCGAAACATGTGATCGATAGACCATACAGATGTGTTGCCTGTTTCTAGACCTTCTGGGGCCTGGATGACACTGCAGAGGGTCGTTTGGAGGAAGTGTCTCACTCATATTAGATGCTCAGGACCAGTCATTCTTCCCTGGAACAAGGGGACAGATCACTTGGGAGAAGTGGATGTTTGGGGTAGAGAAAGACCAGGAGCAAGTGTCAAGTAAGTGGCCTATGTTCTGGGTGGACCAGCTCAATCGTGACCTCAGGCAACTCACTCTACTTCCTGAGCTGTTTCTCCAGTTCCAAACTGCATGGCCGAAGGTCTTTAAGAGACTGGGTTTCTGGATAGGAACACAGGAGGATCTCTAGGGCCCTGTGGGGGCTGCTTCTGAAGAGGACTCCCCATTTTCTTGGGATGCTCTTCAGGGACCCAACTCTTAAGACAGATGGGAGGGTTTGCAGGGAGCTGTCACTGCTCATCACTCCTGCAGAACCAGGGATTCAGGTTGCGCGTTCTGATCTAATCTGTTTACTCATCTGAAAAGGGGGGATGAAGCCAATAGACATCATCTTCTGACCAGATGCAGGGATTGCGGGTCCAGGAGGCACGGGGTCTGCTGGAGATGGTGGTTTCCACCTCGCCCTTGTTCTACCATCTCTGTCCACCTCACATAGCTGCAGGCTTCTCCTGTGGGAGTTCTGGCTCCCTCCCCTGTTGCAGGACACTGGCGCTCACTGTCCTTTTCTCTGCCCAGCAACCTGACTCTTCTCCACACCTGGCAGATTCACCCAGTGCCTAGGTCTGGTGACCCCTCATGAGCATGTTGATCCCAAGCAAGCCACCTACCCTCTCTGAGCCCCACCCCCTCATCGACATAATGGGGACAACAGTCCCTACAACGTATGGAAATGCTCAGCACACCTGGAGCCCAGATCCATTATGAGCAGGCATGAAACATCAGTGTCCTCCAACCCATCTCAAATGTGGCCTTGTTAGCGGGGACAGCCAGGTCCCTATGATACCTATCACCCTGTATTACAGCCACCAGCCATCAGGTCAGCACCTCACATGACCTCAGACTCCTGTGTTCTGGGCCTCTTAGCATCTGCTGTGTCGAGGATAGGTACTTGTTAAAGATTATTGAATGAATGAATAAATGGATGGATGGATGGATGGAGCTATGGATGGGTAGGTGGATGGAGGATGCTTCTGTGGTACTACATTTATGGATGATCCACTCTGCCCTGTCAGGACAGAAGGCTTCTGCGCTATGACAACCCCAACACTACCACTATCTCTTCCTCAAGCACAATGTGTAGTTCCGGTTCATTGAGCATTGGCTATGTGCTGGACACTGAGGTAGTGCAAAGCCACCCTCTGGGGTCGGTGTCCTGCCTGCATGCTCACCTCCCACATAAGCAAACAGGCTGGGGTGGGGAGGCAGTAAGATCTGTAGCGGTGGTATCACATCCTGCACTCTTATCCACAGGTAAGGGTGGGTGGTCAGAGCCCAGAATAGTTGACAGCTTTTCCTCCTTGTAGAACATCTCTTCCCTTGAGAACCCATTTCCCTAGAACCTCCCTAACACTTCTCAGTCTCCTCCTAAGTTCTCTCTAACCCTTAGACAGCCATGAGCCCAGGTTCTGCGCTCCAGCCTGTAATTCATCCTATCTGCCTGGCTCGATTTCCCAGTCCCCTCATTTCTCTTCCTGGAGCTTGGTGTGGGATCCCTCGCAGGGCCCGCCCACTGGGAAAAGGCAAGTAGCCTAATCACAACGCCTTATTTTCTTCAACAGGATGATTGGTCAGAGCCTGAGCCAATCAGACTCTTCCCTAGGACTTCTGTGGAACTAGTTGAGAAAACTGACTCCTTCCCAAGTATAAGCTGGGAATGCAGAGGTGCGGGGAGGTTTCCTGAGACTGGAGTGGGCACATTGGAGACAAGGCCCATTATTAATATTCCTCGCCCCTGCTGTTGTCTTCCTGTCTCTTCCTCCATCCCCACCTCCTCCTCTTTCCTCTACCTCTAATCCTGGGGCTTGAATCCAGGGTCTTGCACACACTATTCAAATGCTCTACCACTGAACTACACCTCCAGCTTTACAGCCCACTCTCAGAGCTAGAAACAATCAGAACTGACTGATGGGTGGGTGAGATAACCCGATGGCATTACTGGAAACTCTGGATCTAGGCATGCCTGAGATCTGACTCACCCTTGAAGCTTGAAGATGAAGATGCCCCCAAACTTTTAATCTTGTTTTCCTTAATCCAGTTTGAGATTTCTTTCTTTCTTTTTTTTAGATTGAGATGAATTTCTGTCACTTAGATAACTAAAAGACTCTTAAGGATTCTCTCTCTCTCTCTCTCTCTCTCTCTCTCTCTCTCTCTCTCTCTGTCTGTCTGTCTCCTTCTCTTCTCTCCCAGGATAATCTCAGGTATAATCTACTCCTTCAGTCAGGTGTCTAATGCTGACAGTTTTCACTTTTTTGTTTGTTTTTTGGCACTGGGGATTGAACTCAGGACCTTGTGCTTACTAGGCAGGCATTTATACCACTGAGCCAACTCCCCAACCCTAATGTTGACAGTTTTTAAAGAACTGGGCATCAGGCAGGTCCTTCCCTCTCTGGAGTCCCCATTACAGATGATGCTGTCACCATCTCCCTCAGGCCCCAGAGAGAGAAAATTCAGTGATCTTTCTCTCCTTCACCCAACGCTGTTTTCCTGTAAGCAGTGCTGTACTGTTCCAGAAGGTTCTTGCCCCATCTGTCCCCTTCTCATTCTTCATCACTCTTTCCTTGATTCAGGTCTCTCTTCGTTTCCTGCAGCACGGTCTGTCCTCGCTTCCCTCCTCTTTGCCTTCACCCATCTCCCTGAACATCACTGCAACCAGTTCAGCAACCACCACTGCCAGCCCTGCCTACTCCCCATCAACCCAGGGCAGCCTCAGCTTCCCCCAAGTGGCCCCGGGCCTTCCCGATGTGGCTTTCTCTGAAACCATTTCTTCTCCCCACCCTGTCTCAGTCACATTTGGTGCCCTTCCCCTGACTGTACCAACCACCTTCTTGTCCCTGAGCTTTCCTGCTGTGATTTGTCCTTGCTGGTCTGGGCCTCGCCCCTCTCCCTACAGGAACCACCTCTGTGTTCCCAGAGCTCTACCAGAGCCACCTCCTGCAGGTGTCCTCCTCCCCAGGCCTGGCCCTGCACCACCCCAGCCATCCTTTTCTCTCCTCTGCTCTCAAGACCTGAGGGACCATGACCTCTGAGGGTGCGACCCTGCCTGATCTCCTGCCCCCTCCCAGGGTGGCCTCTAGGAGTGCAGATGAGTGCCAAGTGGCCTTTCTCAGAAGAATTTGGAAGGCGCACAGGCTAAGTCCAGTTTGGGTTTTGGAAGAAAAAAAAAAAGGACCTGAAAAACCAGGCAGGGTTATGTATGGCTGTAAGCCCAGGCTGCAGGAAAGGAAGATCACAAGTTGGATCCCAGCCTGGGCAACTTAGTGACTTAACAAGACCCTGTTTCAAAATAAAGTGGGAGTTGGGCTAGGGATGTAGTTCAGTGTGAAGACTTTTCATTTAATCCCCAGTACCATAATACATAAATAAATAGGCACCTGGAAGAAATAAGAGATGGCTCAGTGGAATAAGCGCTTCCCTGGCAAGAGCAAGGGCCTGAGTTCAATCCCCGGTTCTGCAAAAAAAGTACAGTTCCTTCCATCTGCACATCATTTTAGTTTACAAAGTGATTCTGGGTTCTTTCTTTCTTTCTTTTTTTCCCCATAGTTTAAATCTGAGTTATTTCTTCATTCGGTTTTTACACCTCTGTGCACTGTCAGGGAATGAAGGCGTTGCCAGCCCCATGGAACAGATGAAAAACGTGGCTCAGAGCCGGTTCTGATCGAGTGGCTCCCTCTCCCCAGGTGAGCCGAGAACCAGGTGAGGAGGAGGAGGAGGAGGAGGAGGGCGCGCTGGTTCTGGATTGGCCAGGGGTGACAGCAGCACTAGCCTCAAGGACAGCCACTGGCTGCTTTTCCTGGGAACAGGGTCCAGCCAATCCCCGAGCATTATCTATTTATGAAGAGGGTTACTCCTAACCTCACAAAGGAGGGAACTGAGGCCCGGGACAGGTAAGAGGGTTCCGCCCGCCCGACGCCTCCGTTATTGGTACAGCGCTTTACCCTTTGTACCTTTAGCGTCTCTTTCTGCATCTCACCACCCTGATCCCAGAGGGGGCTTGGTCTACCATTTTAGAGGGCGCAACTGGGGCTCCGAAGGCAGGGGAAGAGGGAGGGGGTGGCAGCAGCCCTTCTGATCCGCGGCGCGGCTTGGGATGTGGGAAGCGTGCGGCGCAGGGCCCGAGTGGGCGTTCGTGTCGCCTCCCCGCCTGCCGTGAGCGGCAGTGACGACCCTGCTCCCGGCAGCCAGCGCCACAGGTGCTCGGGCGACGGGTGTGCGGCGTGGGCGTGGGCGAGAGACCCGGGCGGGCGGGTCCCCACGCCCATCCTCCCGCCCGCGGCTGGTGGCAGGTGAGTGGGTGTCGAGGAACCGCCAGGCAGCGGAGAAAACAGGACGCCGCAGAGATCAGATTGCTCACCTGCAGCTGCGGTACCCTGGGCTAATAAAAGCCGAGCTTCCTGTTGTTTTTATTACCACCCTGTGCCTCCCCTGCCCCGGTCCGCTCCCAGCTGCAGCCCGAACCCTAACCGATCGCCGCAAACCTGCAGCGTCGGGGTCCAGGCCAATCGGGGCCCGAAATTCCACAGTTTGCCCCCATGCGCACTAGGCCAGATTCAGGTCACCTGAAAGGGTGGCTTGGGTCACCTGCATGGAAGCCCCCACCCGCACCCCACCCCCCACCTCGCGCGGGTGTTAATGAACAATACCGATCTCCAAGCGCGCCTCAGCCTGCTGGGTAACAATTTCTGCCGATTGCCCGCTCCCCAGCCTCCGGATCCATATGAATGTCGGGGGCTTTGCATGCAGAGCGTGTTTGAGGGCCCAGTTCAGCTGCAGGTCCAGGCCAGGCGGGTGTCTGGGCCCGAGGTCTCAGGGTGCAATCCATCCCAGTCGCGGCCAGAGGACCACCGAGCGAGCGTCAGTTTGCTCATTTGTAAAACAGGGATGGAAACAGCCCAGAGCTCTTGGGCCCGCAGGAGCCCAAGGAGAGAATGCAGGTGGCTGGTGACCGCAGTAGCTGCAGCAAGGATAACCTCAGCTGGACCGGAACAGGCCGAGTGGCCTTGGGCTCCATACACGCCCTTTCTGGGAGTCGGTTTCTCCAGAGCTCCGCGCACCGCAGGGAGCTGGGGGAGGCCGCGCCCTGCTCTCCCACTCTTCCTTCCCCCTCCCAGTTACCTGCTCCCGCTGAGCCGGGAAGCCTGGTGCAGCCCCCTCCAGCGACGCCCCCCAGTACCCCGGCCCTGCTGACTTCTCCAAGTGCAGCCACTTGCTGTCTCCTTCACCTGTCTAGCAGCTGCCTTCTCCGTCCCTGGGTGTCACATC